CATCATCATCACCATCATCTATCAGATCGCTTATTAGTCTTCTTATTTTCTTATATTATTATTCTTCTGCTTCTTCATCTCATCATCTCATATCATCATCATCACATCATCATCGATCATCAATCATCAGCTCCATCATCATCAGCATCATCATCATCTAATCGTCATCATCTACATCATCATCATACATCATCATCAATCATCATCCCCATCACAACCACCACCATAATCAATCATCATCATCATCCTCAGCATTCATCATCATCACCACCATCATCACCATCATCTCATCATCATCAGCATCATCATCACAATCATCATCATATAATCAGCGCATCATCATCAACATCAGCATCATCATCACACAGCATCATCAACATCATCATCATCATCACCATCTATCATCTTCATATCTTCTTCATCATCATCAGCATCATCACCATCATCATCCTCATCAGCCCGCATCATCACATCAGCATCATCATCACCCAGCATCAGCATCAGAACCACCATCATCATCACATCATCATCATCATCACCAAAAAAAATTCTCCCCCCCCCCCCCCCCCCCCCCCCAAAAAAATCATCGTCATCATCATCAGCATCATCATCAGTAGCACAGCATCCATCATCATCGTCATCATTCGCAACCACCATCACCACCACCACCACCATCATCATCATCATCGACAACATCATCATCAGCAGCATCAGCAGCATCATCACCATCAGCATCATCATCATCATCAGCATCATCATCAGCAGCATCATCGTCATCAGCATCAGCATCATCATCATCATCAGCATCGTCATCATCAGTATCATCATCAGCAGCATCATCATCATCAGCCTCCTCATCAGCATCAGCATTATCATCATCAGCATTATCATCAGCATCATCATCATTAGCATCAACCTCATCATCGTCATCGTCATCATCATCATAATCAGCAGCATCATCATCATCATCAGCAGCATCATCATCATAATCCCCTCCCCCCTCTCCTCCTCCTCCTCGTCCTCCTCCTCTTCCTCCTCCTCCTCCGCCTCCTCCTCCTCCTCCGCCTCCTCCTCCTCTTCCCTCCCTTTCTCCCTCCCTCCCTCACTCCCACCTTCCCTCAGTCCCTCCCTCCGTCCCTCCATCCCTCCTCCTCCTCCGCCTCCTCCTCCTCCTTCAGAAACCTCCTCCTCCTCCTCTATCCTCCATCATCCATCCTCCGTCCAGCATCCTCCTTCCTCCTCCTCGTCCCCCTCCTCCTCTTCCTGATTATTTCCTCCCCCTCCTCCTCCTCCTCCCCTCCTCATCATCATCACTCTCCCCCTCTCTTCTCCTCCTCCTCCTCATCCTCCGCCTCCTCCTCCTCCCTCCTCCTCCTCCTCATCCTCCCTCCTCTCCTCCTGCTCCCCTCCTCCTCCTTTCCTCCTCCGTCTCATCCTCCTCCTCCCTCCTGCTGCCTCCTCCTTCTCCTTCTCCTTATTCAAAGTTTCTGATTATTCCTCCCCTCCTCTTCTCCTCCTCCTCCATCGAAACCGCACACCTCCTCCTCCTCCGCCTCATCCTCCTCCTCCTCCTCCTCCCCTCCTCTCATCATCATCATCATCACATCATCCATCATCATCATCATCATCATCATCATCATCATCACATCAGCATATCATCATCAATCATCATCCATAATCATCGTCTCATCGATAGCGTCAACGCGACGGTCGCAATCCTCCTATCATCACACCACCCCACCACGCACCACCACCACCATCATCATCATCATCCATCTCATATCATCATCATGATCGTCGCATCATCATCTCAGCAGCATCATCGTCATCAGCATCATCATCATCAGCATCAGCATCATCATCATCATCAGCATCAGCATCATCATCATTACCATCACCACCACCACCACCAGAACCACCACCACCACCATCATCATCATCATCATCAGCATCATCATCATCAGCATCATCAGCATCATCACCATCATCGTCGTCGTCATGGTCGTGGTCATCATCATCATCATCATAATCAGCAGCAGCAGCATCATCATCATCATCATCAGCATCATCATCATCAGCATCATCATCAGCAGCATCAGCAACATCATCATCATCATCATCATCGTCATCATCGTCATCATCAGCATCGTCATCATAATCAGCAGCAGCATCAGCATCAGCTTCAGCATCAGCATCAGCATCATCACCATCATCATCATCATCATCATCATCATCATCGTCATCATCGTCATCATCATCATCAGTATCATCATCATCATCAGCATCATCATCATCATCAGCATCATCATCAGCATCATCATCAGCAGCATCAGTAGCATCATCATCATCATCGTCATCATCATCATCAGCATCATCATCAGCAGCAGCATCAGCATCATCATCATCATCAGCAGCATCATCATCATCAGCAGCATCATCATCATCATAATCATCATCATCGTTATCAGCATCAGCATCAGCATTATCAGCATCAGCATCATCAGCATCATCATAAGCATCATCATCATCATCATCATCATCGTCGTCATCGTCGTCATCATCATCATCATCATAATCATCCCCTCCCCCCTCTCCTCCTCCTCCTCCTCCTCCTCTTCCTCCTCCTCCATCTCATCCTCCTTTCCTGCTCCTTATACATAACTCCTCCCTGTCGCACCTCGAGACCGGTCGAAAGGGCGGGCCCGGCATGTCACCTGAGACTTCCTCGCGATACTGAAGCTTGAAATGTGCAACAGTTTCGCGGTTACAAAATGTGGCTCTCGGCTTAGCGCCACGCACATTCACCTTCAAAGCTCGCAAGAGTTTCACGAATGGAGGGCGGTCCAGTTTCAAAATGTGCTCATCTCCGTAGCGCCGCGCACATTCGTTTTAGAAGTTTGCAAGAGTTCCACGGATGGAAGGAGGTTCCTTGTCAAAATGTTGTTATCGCCTTAACGACGCGCACATTCGTTCAAACGTTTGCAAGAGATTCACGGATGGAGGGCGGTTCCTTTTCAACCTGCTGCTCTCGCCGTAGCGCCGTGTATATACGCCTTAGAGTTTACAACAATTTGAAGGATTCTCATGGTTAACGTCCTATAAATACTGCTTTGGCAATATGTCGGAATGGCAGGGCGCAACCCACAGCCACGTTGATTCGCGATGTTGGAGTACCAAGAGTGGTGTTCTGGCACGTATTAGGGCCGTCAAGACGTAACAATAACGGTGATTCGCGGCGCTGAAGTCCAAGCAATGACGTTCTGGCACGATCCCGGATTTCCCCTCTGTGACCATGAAGCCGTGTAGGAGCCCATGAAGAGGAAACTCGGAGGGAGGGTTTCAATATCGTCGATGAGTCTTGGGTGCACACTGGTCCTCCTCCTCCTCCTCCTCCTCCTCGTCCCCCTCCTAGCCTTCCTCCTCCTCCTCCTCCTCCTCCTCCTCCTCCTCCTCCCCCTAGCCTTCCTCCTGCTCCTCCTCCTCCTCCTCCTCACCTTCCTCCTCCTCCGCCTCCTCCTCCTCCTGTTCCTCTCTTCCTCTCTTCCTCCTCCTGTTGTCCTCTCTTCCTCTCTTCTCTCTCTTCCTCCTCCTCCTCCTCCCTCGTCCTCCTCCTCCTCCTCCTCCTCGTCCCCCCACCCCCCCTCCCCCACCCCCTCCCCTCCTCGTTCTCCTTCTCCTCTTCCTCCTTCTCCTCCTCCTTCTCCTCCTCCTCCTCCTCCCTCCTCCTCCTCCTCCTCCCTCCTCCTCCTCCTCCACCTCCTCCTCCTCCTCCTCCTTTTCCTCTCCCCCTCCTCCTCCTCCTCCTCCTCCTCCTCCTCCTCCCCTCCCCCTCCTCCTCCTCCTCCTCTTCGTCCTCCTTCTCCTCTACTTCTTCGTACTCTTACTATCAGTATTCTTAGCAATTATGCTTCGAATTATTATTATTAGTATTATTTTTCGTATTATCCTTATTAGTCTCATTATTATTGTTATTATTATTAGCGTGATGCTTGTTATTAGTATTAGTGTTATTAGTAGTCGTACTAGTAATAGTATTAATCATATTATTAATAATATTATTATTATTAGTATTAGCGTTCTTCCTGTTAGTAGTGTTCTTCTTCTTTTGGCTATTATTAGTAGGAGTAGTCGAATTACTATTACTATTGGGATTAGTAATACTATGATTATCATCATTATTATTATTATTATGAGTAGCAGTCTTAGTCTTCTTCTTCGTATTAATAAGATTCTTCTTGTTAATACAGTTAGTATTATTGTTTGTCGTCGTATTATTCTTCTTAAAATTATTCGTAGTATTTTTATCCTGAGAAGTGTTAGTATTAGTACTATTATTATTCTTCTTAATATCATGCATATTCTTATTAGCGTTCTTATTATTATTGTTCGTCTTCTTCTGGTTCATATTATTATTCCTCCTCCTCCTCCTCCTCCTCCTCCTCCTCCTCCTCCTCCTCCCCCTCCTCCTCCTCCTCCTCCTCCTCCTCCTCCTCCTCCTCGTCCTCCTCCTCCTCCTCCTCCTCTTCCTCCTCCTCCTCCTCCAACTCCCTCTCCTCCCCTCCTCCTCCTCCTCGTCCTCCTTATCATCATTCATCATCAGAGCAGCATCAGCATCATGATCTCTCCCAATCGTCATCATCAGCATCATCATCACATCATCTCATCATCATCATCATCATCATCATCATCATATCATCATCTTCATCATCATCATCGTCATCATCATCATCATCATCATCATCATCATCATCATCATCATCATCATCATCATCATCATCATCATCATCATCATCATCATCAATCGTCATCATCATCATCATCATCATCATCATCATCATCATCATCATCATCATCATCATCATCATCATCATCATCATCATCATCATCATCATCATCATCATCATCATCATAATCATCATCATCATCATCATCATCATCATCATCATCATCATCATCATCCTACTCCTGGCGGCTGCGGAAGAGCCGCAACGCCGGCTCTCCGTATATTGACCACTCTGATCATCAGGTCTCTGTCGAAGGCGTTGGGATCCTTCACGTGCATGAGCTCGTGGGCCTCGCCGCGCGGGCGCTGCCGCGCGGGCGCTGCCGCGCGGGTGGGGGCGTTTGGGCGGGAGGGGGTGCGGAGCAGCAGCCGAGGGGCCGCAGCTTCTGTCAGGGTCGAAGGCGACGGAAACATTTTTCCCCAACCATTCTGTGGTGCTGGGTCCACGTTTTGAAGAGACAGCGCTCCGCGTCCTCCTCTCCTCTCCTCTCCTCTACAGTTACACAATATTCCCTAATCAGATCTTGTCTCTGTAGGGGTCCTAGCGGATTGTGTGCCGCCGATTTCGGTGGCCGGGCCAGGTGCCCGGGTGCTCAGGGGTGCCCGGGTGCCCAGGTGCCAGGGTGCCCCGGTGCCCGGGTGCACAACTGCCCAGGAGCCTGGGTGCCCGGGTGCTCGGTAGCCTGACAGCACTACAGCCCTATATCCTTATAGCCTTACAGCCTATCGCCCTATAGCCCTATAGCCCTATATCTCTATAGCCCAATAGCCCTATAGTCCTATGGCCCCATAGCCTTATAGCCCTGTAGCCCTATAGCCCTATAGCCCTATAGCCCTATAGCCCTATAGCCCCATAACCCTACAGCCTTATAGCCTTACAGCAATGTAGCCCTATAGCCCTATGGCCCGATAGCCTTATGGCCCTATAGTCCTCTAGCCCTATAGTCTCATAGCCCTATAGCCCAAATTATCCTGACGAAGGAAGTTGTGGGTAACGCGTTGCGGGTGCCATTTTCGGTGGAGCTCCTTATGGGGCCACGAAACGCTGTACTGAGTGTGGCGGACGCATGTGGCCACCCCCATTCGGGCCTTACGTGGAGTTCCCTCTGGGGCCACGAAACGCTGTACGGGGTGTGGCGGACGCATGTGGCCACCCCCACTGGGGCCTTACGTGGAGCTCCCTATGGGGCCACGACACGCTGTACCGGGTTGGGGGGACGCATGTGGCCACCCCCACTGGGGCCTTGGATGGAACTCCCTACGGAGCCACGAAACGCGTGAGGGACGAGCCATAATTGGTGGGGGAGACGCATGCGGGCGGTGCCACTGGGGTGGGGCCCTCGGTGGGGTTCCCTATGGGCCACGAAACGCTGTCCTGGGTGTGGCTGACGCATGCGGGCGGTGCCCCTCGCTGGAGCTCCCGATAAAGCAACGAAACGCTGCATTGGTGGGGGGGAAACGCATTCGGGCGGTGCCGCTGGGGTCTTTCTGTGGAGCTCCCTACGGGGCCGCAAAACGCTGCACTGGGTGGTGGCCGATGCATGCGAGCGGTGCCACTGGGACCTTCGGTGGAGCTCCTTATGGGGCCACGCGGGGGGGGGGGGATGCATGCGGGCGTTGCCACTGGGGCCTCTCGGTGGCCACTGGAGCTCCCCACGGGGCCACGACACGCTGTACCGGGTGAGGGGGACGCATGCGGGCGGTGCCACTGGGGCTCGGTGGAGCTCCCAATCAATTGGGCCACGAAATGCAATTCTGGGTGGTGGACGACGCATGCGGGCGGTGCCACTGGGTTTTTTCTGTAGAGCTAGCTCCCTATGGGCCACGAAACGCTGTCCTGGTTGTGGCGGACGCATGTGGCCACCCCTACTGGGGCCTTGGGTGGAGCTCCTATGGGACCACGAAACGCTGTACTGGGTGTGGCGGACGCATGTGGCCACCCCCACTGGGGCCTTGGGTGGAGCTCCCTCTGGGGCCACGAAACGCTGTACTGAGTGTCGCGGACGCATGTGGCCACCCCCACTGGGGCCGCAGGTGGAGTTCCGTCTGGGGCCACGAATCGCTGTGCTGGGTGTGGCGGACCATGTGGCCACCCCCAACGGGGCCTTACGTGGAGCCCCACATGGGGCCAAGAAACGCTGTACTGGGTGTGGCGGACGCATGTGGCCACCCCCAACGGGGCCTTGGGTGGAGCTCCCTATGGGACCACGAAACGCTGTACTGGGTGAGGCGGACGCATGTCGCCACCCCCACTGGAGCCTTGGGGGGGGCTCCCTATGGGGCCACGGAACGCTGTACTGGGTGTGGCGGACGTATGCTGCCACCTCCACTGGGGCTTTGCGTGGAGTTCTCTTTGGGGCCACGAAACGCTGTACTGGGTGTGGCGGACGCATGTGGCCACCCCCACTGGGGCCTTACGTGGAGCTCCCTCTGGGGCCACGAAACGTTGTACTGGGTGTGGCGGACGCATGTGGCCACCCCCACTGGGGCCTTGGGTGGAGCTCCCTACGGGGCCACGAAACGCTGTACTGGGTGGGTGAAACGCATGGAGGAGGGAGAAGGGGGGAGATGGAGGAGGGAGGAAGGGGGAGGAGGAGGAGACGCGGGGACCGTCTCTTCAAAACGAGGACCCAACACCACAGGACGGTTGGGAAAAACATTTGGTTGGGGTCTGTCTCCGGCATCATGAATACTACTCTCCTTTCTCCCCCGATGACGTCCGGAAGATATACCCCCCCCTCCGCATGCTATTTTTAACACACATTCACACAAACACAAGATTCCGGGGAATTGGGTTTTCGCTTGGGTTTGTTTTTTAATGTTGCTCCCTCTGAAGCGCTGGCCTCATTTTCGGGTTTCCGCTCGTTCAGAATCGTGCTCCAGCTGCAATGCTGGCCTCATTTCCGCGTTTCCGCTCGTTCCGAATCATGCTCCCGCTGCAGCGCTGGCCTTCCTTCCAAATAAACCCCAAAATATAAAAAATGGCCCTCCGAAAAAGCCAGTGGAAGTGATTGCACATTCGGTGTCGATTCGTTGATTTCTGGGGTCGTAAAGCCCCCCCCCACTTTGGCGCGCCGTCGCTTCCAGGACGTGTCAAACGGGAGCCCCGTTACTACTTTGAGGAGGCGATGTTGGAAGCAGAGCCAGCGGGTGCCCTCCATCAGCCTCGCCTTGCGTGGAGCTTCTCGGGGAGCCCCAGGAGCTAGACATGGAACCACGATTCCAGACTGGCCCAGACCTCTTGAAGACGATCCACTTACCCTCCAAAGAAGCTGGCGGAATGCCATGACATGCTGTGCGGTGTTGTGTTCTGCGCCGTTGTGCGATGCCATGCTTTGCGTTGCAATGCTTTGTGATGCAATGCCTCACTGCGCAATGCCACGCCATGCATGGCACGCTACGCTCTGCCGCGCTCTTCTACATCAGGCCATGCCGTGCTCTACCATGCATCGCGTACCCTCTCGCGATCATTGCCCTGCTCGACATCCGACTGTGCGAATAAAGAGGATATCTACGCCATGGTAAAGGATGGGAGGGAGGGGTGGGACGTCTGATATGACGCGGGCGCACCTAGCTTGCTCTCTCCCCCTCCCCCTCCTCCCGCTGCCTCCGTTTTGGTTTCGTGGCCCCATAAGGAGCTCCAGCGAAGGCCGCAGTGGCGGGGCCCGCATGCAGTTCCACCTCCATTTCGGCGCACCCCTCGCGCTTCGTGGCCCCATAGGATGCTCCACCGAAGGCCCCAGTGGCAGGGTCCGCATGCAGTTCCACCTCCATTTCGGCGCACCTCTCGCACACTTCGTGGCCCCATTAGGAGCTCCGCCGAAGGCCCCAACGACAGGGTCCGCATGCAGTTCCACCCCCATTTCGGCGCACCCTTCGCACGCTTCGTGGCCCCATAGGGTGCTCCACCGAAGGCCCCAACGACAGGGTCCGCATGCAGTTCCACCCCCATTTCGGCGCACCCCTCGCACGCTTCGTGGCCCCATAGGGTGCTCCGCCCAAGACCCCAGTGGTAGGGTCAGCATGCGGTTCCATCCCAATTTCTACGCACCCATCGCACGGTTCGCGACCCCATAGCGTGCTCCGCCCAAGGCCCCAGTGGCAGGATCCGCATACAGTTCCACCTCCATGTCAGCGCACCCCTCACACGTTTCGTAGCCCCATAAGGTGCTCCACCGGAGGCCCCAGTGGAAGGGTCAACATGCAGTTCCACCCCAATTTCGGCGCGGCTTCGGGGCCGAATTCCCCCCTGCGTTTTTTTGTTACATTTTCGTGCGTCGGCGATTGTGGATGGTTTCGTCTGTGTTTTCGTTTGTCCATACACACTTCGGTCTGCAACCCTGCATCCTCCCCACTCCTCCATCAATGCACCCCCCCCTCCCCAGAATCTCCCATAGAGTGTTATTGTGGTGCTTTCCAACAGTTCAAGCAGAATAGATGTGTGGTGCTTTCACAAGGATTCCGAGTGTGAGGCGTACCAATAGAATATGCGGTTGGTGCTTTCCAAAGGACTCATTGTGCGATGCTTCCCCATAGTTTCTCCTTGTGGCGCTTTCCAAAAGATTCTTGTTCGGATGGTTTCCCATGGAAACCCTTTGCGGCGCTCTCCAAAGGATTTCCAATGTGAGGATGTTATTTAGAATCCCTTTTGTGGCTCGTTCCAAAGGATCCTTGCTGCGAGGCTGTCCAATCGAATATCTGCGTGTTGCTTTCCGCAGGAGTTCTGTCGTGAGGCTTTCCAATAGAATCCCTCTGCGGCGCTATCCAAAGGATTCATGTTGTGAGGCGTCCTGATCGAATCCCTCTGTGGCACCTTTCGATGGATTATTTTTGGTGCGGCTTCCCAATAGGAGCCCTCAGTGGTGCTTTCGAAAAGGTGTTCTGGTGTGAGGCTTTCCAGTAGAATCCCTCTGTGGTGCTTTCTGACGGGTTCCTTGTTTGTGCTGCGTCCCAATAAGAGCCCCTTAGTGGCGCCCCCATTTCAATAGAATCCCTGTGTGGTGGTTTCTAAGGGATCCTCCTTGTGGCACTTTCCAAAAGGAACCCGCCGTAGCATTTTCCAGAGGATTCCTCTTGTCATGGGTTCAGAAGAAGGGGGAGATGAAGAAGCTGGTCTTCCAGTGCGCCCCTGATGACAAGGCCACCGACGAGGTGAAGGTGGTGGTATCGGCCATGGGTGAGTTGGCCCTGGTGAACACTCGGCTCAACGATGGGGAGACCAAGATCGACTCCGAGAAGCTCAAGGACGCGAATGCCCCCAAGGTGACGGCCCAGCTGGTCACGGACTGCCG